GTTTACCCATAGTCTCCGTTGTAGTTCCTTGTTTGGTTAAACCAATTATATATATATATATATATGAAAGATTTTAAAGTAAGGTATCCCCCAAAGGGAACTACAATGGACACTCTAGGTAAGGTTTAGGATGCTGCAACTAGACTGCGATGAGGCAACTCGACTACAAGTTTCTTCATCTGTGTCAGCTCCTGGCAAGCATCGCCCAACCTTTTTCACCGGCTCTGCCCATATGCCACGACACTCGAATCTTCCCCTAAACCCTAAACCCTAAACCCTAAACCCTAAACCCTAAACCCTAAACCCTAAACCCTAAACCCTAAACCCAAACCCTTGAAGCCAAAACCAACCCAACCCTGAAAGTCGAGAGCCCCGACCCCCAAACCTAAAACTGTAAACTTCAACTTACATGTCGAAGCAACGCCCACCACCGAAAACCCTGCATGGATCCGAAATCCCAGCCCTCAAACCTGAGACCCCTAAACGAAAACCCGGAACGCTGAAAACTGAGCCCACAAAACCCGATCCCTACCCCTGACCCTGAAACCCTAAGCCCTAAAAGCCTTGAAACCCTAAAAACCCTGAAGCCCTGAAGACTCTAAGCCCTAGAGAACCCTGAAACCCTAAACCCAAAAAGCCCTGAAACTCTGCACTGGAAGCCTCCGACGTCCACCTGATGCAGATTGGACCCCCGACAAAAAGACCTGGTGCTGTGCCCACAAGGGCCTTGGTTGTCAGATCCTCAGACAGCTCCCGTTATTTGGGGCTTTGTGGGTTTGGGAGTCTAGGGGTTGATCCTTGGTAGTATTGTTGTTGTTCTTCTTCTTGTCACTGTTAATAAGTTCTTGGCTTATACCGGGTTCATAAGACTTTTTCAAAAAGGGTGCTAGAGTGGATTTGGGTTCAGAGTTCAGGATAGAGTCCGTAGTGGTGGTAGCACTGCCTCACGTGTATAACAGTGCATAACCGTGTGTCATGATGGTGCGAATCATCGTCAAATCATCCCTAAACCCTAAACCCCAAACTCCCCAAACCCTAAACCCTAAACTCCCCAAACCCTAGACCCTAAACCCTAAACTCCCCAAACCCTAAACCCTAAACCCAAACCTCCCTAA